TTCATGAATATTATGCTTAATTACTCTACTATTAATCAATTATCTATCCTTTATACAATGTTTTTTTTTTACTTTTTCTTTTTCCATTATGCTTCACGCATCAATGTAATCTGGATAATCAAGGAACAAAGTTTGAGTTGAGAGACCAAATCTCTAAGAACAAATATGGATGATTATATGGTAAATGAAAATATGGATAATTATTGAAATCCAGCTTGATTCTCCTCATTTGATGAAAATTTATCTTAGAAACCTACTAAAAATATGGATAATTAGTTGTCTAAAGCATATCCATATAAGGAATAAGACTTGACTGTAAAAGCTTTAAATTAAACAATAATTGATCGTTGACTACTAGTTACAACCTGTTCCTGTAAAATAGGAACAAGGAACGAGACGTTTCAAGCAGTGGCGGAGCCAGAACATTTTTCTATTGGGGGCAAAACGTATTTAATGGGAACATATATGCTATTTAGTGTGGGGGCAACTAGTATTATTGTTACAAATTTACACTAAATATTTTTTTTTATTGGGGGCAACTGCCCCCAACTCATTGTATATACCTCCGCCACTGGTTTCAAGTAAACATTATTGTTCAATCCGAGACTGAGATTCATCATCATCATCAATAGCAGATTTAGAATTTTTTTTATCGGGGACACTTTCAATAAAAGTATATTTTTTAATAATAGAAAACATTTTTTCTTTAAACCCATTAAAATAACATACTAAATAAGATTTATTTAAGCTTTATTCAATAAAAGAATGAAAAATAGTAGGAGGCACGTGACTCCATAACGTCACACATGCGTCCGCACCTGATCATTATCGAAATAATCAGGAACAAGATCCAACCGAACCTCCAAAGCACATCTAGGAGAATACTTGTCTCTAATATAATAAGTATCGATAAGTTTCTACATATAAACTAAAAGTTGTAGTGGAGTAGTTCTCTTCCAGTAGAAAATTTGTCTGTGTGGGTTTAGACCAGAGGTCAAGTCTCCCTAAATACGAAATTATCATATTAACTTTTGACCACCCAACCATTTAAGCTGCGACTTAAACTTACATAAAAATGATGTTAGGCTTAAGGAGGATTAGTCTGAATCCGAAGGCATGATATGCAGGTTTAAAATTAACTATTTTATAACTCTTAAAACTAAAAATGAAAAACAAAATTATTTAAACACAAAATAATGTTATTACAGTGATTAAAACAAAATTATTCTACATGACTACACTAATGTAATAATTATTTTATGCATTAACCTAACATGAAGGAAAAAATTAATTACCTCTAGTTTATGAACTAAAAAGATTAGCAATTTTTTTTATTATAAATTTGTAATCTATTATTTAATTTCATATTCTTTAGAAAAAATATATTCTTTGAAAATTTCATATTCTTCAGGTCTATTATGAGTAATTTGAATATATAATATGTTTTGTTTGGAAAACTTATAATTTGGTATAATATTTATAAATAGTATATCAAATCTAATTAAAAGTGTAACAAAATAATCAAATGTTATTTAATAATCATAATGTTGAAACAAAGATTAAAAATTATACATCAGTTCTTCAAATAAAAAAAAATATTATTTTTTATTATTTTAGTTTCATCTTCGTTATATATTTTCTATAAAAAAATAATAAATAAAAATTATTTTATTTTCGTAGCTAATTTAACCAATACAAATTTCTAAATTCATATATTACATTGAAAAAAAAATAAGAATTACAATTCTTGCTTTCAGATTTATGACACCTTTTGTCTTGTATTATATTATTTATGTTAATTTTTAAATGACTTTAAATGATTTTAAATGATTATACTTCACTTCTTCCAATCAAAGTGAATAAGTTTTTTCCATTTTATTTAATTTTATTCTCATTATATATGTTTTCTATGGAATACAGAAAAAAAGATAGTTGAAATTTAAGCTACTTTAATCAATACAAATTTTCTGTTTAATTTACATATGAAAAAGCAAACAAATAGGCACAAATGTTACTCTCGTATCGAATTTCATTCCTCTCTTTTTTTTTCTACAAAGAGTAAACTTATTTTTAAATTTTAATGTTGATGTGGACCAATAAAATTACTTTATTAAATTTATGTGGACACCCTTAAAAGTATATACCTTTAACTTTTATTAGTATTATCTATACTATTATTTGCGAGGTCAAAAATCTTATGTGTCATCACCATAGAGATTTTCCTATGTGACATTAAAAAATATATATTATGTGTCTTTTTAATTTGTTTTGATAGGTCTATTATGAATTCTACGTGTACAAACCCATAACATGAATTTTCCTTTGATAATGGACCAGCGAGTTTGTTCATGGGCCAGTGATTTTTTTCTCGGTCATAGCTATCAATTTTGGTAATAGAACACCGACATCGAAATCCTAAACCTTAAATCATCTATCCTACTATATATACCTGTATCGCCTACATATTTTTTTACATACAACAACCGTCTTCTAAGGTCTAGCAACTTTTAGAAAACTCGTCAACCTCTTTTTCATGAATACATCTTTTGTATATCCCGACCTGGTTTAAATTATATTGTTTGTTAGTTGTTCTTCCATGCTAACCATTTCATCGTTTTGTTCCGATCGGGATTCTTCTATGCTAACTGGTCCAATATCTATGCTTTTTCTCTATCGTGTTCTATATTACTATGCATCACAACTATCTTATTTTTAATCCCTGTTTTACTCTCTATGAGATTGGTCATCGAGATATCATATCTGTGTTTTTTTTTTTTTGCTTTGCAATTCTATATATAAAATTCGTTGCTCCGTATTTGATATTCATGTTCCTCTTTATTAAGTTTTCTATATGGATATATTTGAGTTATTGTTCGTAAATATAGATTGACCTGGGCTTCTTTATTTTTTTCCTTGAACCTAGAGTTCATCCTGCACACTACAGGTGATTGGTTCGAACTTTTGCAATCATATCTTCAAATGGATCTAATAGGTAATTACAAATAAATCATTTGTACTTCTTTTTTTGGGTCAACAAATCATTTGAACTTCTAATTTGCTTAATTGATATTTGTAAACTCTCTAATTTATTATTTTGATCTTCTTAGATGGATCAAAACCATAGAAAGAAGTTTTTTTGTGTATAATTCATGTTTTAGTTTAGGTTTGTATTAATTTTTTCTGGCAACATATTTGTGAGTGGGTGTTAATTTCTTGTTTGACTGTTGTTTGTTTCTTTTTGGGCTCTACTATAAATTTTTTTTATATTGCTGTTTATGTTTATTTTTATTTCTAAATATAATTTTACGGTTCATTTTTGTGGTAACTTGTGTGGACATGGATTTTTAAGCAAAAAAAAAGTAACCAGTTCCGATTAGTTTTGGTTCCATAATTTACTAAAGATATGTAACATGAACAAAACAATCCTATTGAGAATAGAGTGCAAACCAATTGCAAATAGCACCATCCAATTGATGTTGAATTACATTATGGTTAATCCCTGACCCACTTCTTAGTTTGTTAATGAACTCATTGATTTTTTATCCCTAATGAGAGATAAAACCAGCTGAAGGAAGGAGAGTCACCAATACAGAGGAAGAAGAATGTTTGCTAGAGAAATATTCGGGTCATAATTTTCATCATCTTTTTAATTTGTTTCAGCTTGCTGGAACTATATTTTTAGTTTTTCAGGCTTCATCGGAGTACCAAATAAATTGATGATTCTCTAACACCAGAATCTAAGAAACATAGATTACTGAAATTCTTGTGAATTGAAGAATGAACATACTCAAACGTTGCATTTCTCATATGTTTTGATATATAACAAGTAATCCTTGTGTCATATAACTCTGTTGCTTTAAAAATTTAGTTTTTGAATTAAATTTATCCTAAAGCAGTCCACTGAAAAGCATTGATAGAAGAAAATTTGAAGAGAAAGAAGAATAATGCATTGAAATGGGATAAAGAAGAAGAATACGAGTAAAACCCAAAAAAAAATCAGGGGAAGAATTGATCAAACATAATGAAAAAAAATAAGAAAAATACGAAGAAGAAAAAAACTGAAAGATAAAAAAATATGAAGAAGAACTGAACGAAGAAGGAGAAAACGAAGAAGAAGATAAATCATAAGAGAAAGAAAAAGTAGAAATCAAAGACGATGAAGAAGAGAAAGAAAAGATGGGGAATATGAAAACAGAAATATAAATAAGATGAAGAAGAAGAAATTAAAGACAATGGCGATCAAAAAGATTTTTTTTTATATATAATTTTTCTTATTGTTTATACGTATTATAATTATCCAAGGTTTTGGTTATAACTGGTTATTGGTTTTTGTTGTCTTACAGTGGGTAGGTGATTCTTCTCTTTCCTTGTATATTTTGAAGGTGATTATCGTGTTATCTCTACATAGGTATTAGAATATTGATACTTACGAGCTACCTACACCGATATTGGATGGTTGGAAGACAATGAAGAAGAATAAAGAAAAGAAGATAAAGAAAAACAACCAAAAGATAAAAAGAGGAGGAAAAAGAAGAAAACAAATATGAAAATAAAAAATTTGTGTTTGTCTTAATTCAATTGGTTTGTGGGTTTCATACACTTATTTAGTATTATATTTTATGTGTTTTATTTGATAGGTTTATTTTATTTTGATTATATACGTCTCAATTGTTTTAATTTTCTTTATTTACATAATATAAAGTTTTTTTTAATAATTTTAAACCTCTCGGGATCTGCGCAGACAAGATACCTAATTATATTAATAATTGAATGCTGTTTGTTAATTGATATATTTTTTTACTTAGAATTTTGATTTTTTATCAAATTATTCGTTATGTATGATATGACTATATGAGTTAGTTTATTAGCAGAGATATTCTCAAAGTACCTATCTTATCTGTCAAAGAATCCAAATGATTTCGTATAATACGCACTACGCCGAGACGTTTTTTTTTTGTTTGATTATTATATCGCCGCCAAGATGGAACTAAAATATCACAGATAAACAATTGGAAGATATTATTATAAAAGATATCCAAAAAGGGTGAAATTTGCAAAAAAGAAAATTAAAAATCTCCAGAGATTACAACGAGAGAAAACTTATAGAGAGATGTCAGAAGCTTCCACACAAATGACAAGAAATGGTAATTTCATTGTCTCAACAAATCTTATTTCATTTGATCTAATCAACTCTGAGAATTCTAACTTTTTATTCAACCAACAGAAGAATCAGAGCAAGTTCAGAATCCAGAACCAGACCAAATCTTGAGCCAAAGAAGATCGTTGGTGATAAATCAAAGAAGATGCTGGATCTTTGTTTCGTTATGTCTTTTCTTAGTCTTCCTCGGAGATTCTCTCGTCATGCTTCTCTTGAACTTCTTCTATGTTCAAGACAATCGAGAAGATAGTAACCAAGATCTACAATATAAAGGAACATGGACTCAAGCTCTGATCCAAAACGCTGCGTTTCCAATCCTTATACCTCTCTTCTTCATTTTTCCTTTACCAAAATCAAACCCTGAAACCAACAATATTCGTTTTCTCTCTTTTCGTCTTCTCTTTCTTTACTTCGCTCTTGGTGTTCTTGTTGCTGCTCATAGCAAATTATTCGCACTTGGGAAGCTATACGCAAACTTTGGCATATTCACGTTGATTTCCGCCACTCAATTGATATTTACGGCTATTTTCACAGCCATCATAAACCGTTTCAAGTTTAATAGATGGATCATTATATCGATAATCCTAACTCTTATAATATACGTTTTTGGTAGTCCTGAATTTGTAGGACAGCCTGATGAAAACGAAGAATTCTACAGCATTCAAGCCTGGTTAACCTTCTCTGCTTCGGTAGCCTTCTCATTATCTCTCTGTTTATTCCAACTCGGTTTCGAGAAACTTATGGTGAAGACAAAGAGATATGGTAATAAGAAAGTGTTTAGAATGGTCTTAGAGATGCAAATATGTGTCTCTTTTGTGGCCTCGGTTATTTGCCTCATTGGTTTGTTTGCGAGTGGCGAGTTCAAGGAGTTGAAAGGTGAAAGCGAGAGGTTTAAGAAAGGGAAAACATATTATGTTTTGAGTTTGGTCGGGTTGGCTTTGTCGTGGCAGGTTTGGGCGGTCGGGCTAATAGGTTTGGTACTTTATGTTTCGGGCGTGTTTGGTGATGTTGTACATATGTGTACTTCACCACTAGTGGCTTTGGTTGTTGTGTCGGCATTTAATTTTATGGATGATGATTTTAGTTGGCTTAGAATAGGTGCTTTGATAGGAACAGGTTTGGCTTTAGGATCGTACTTCTACTCTCTGCACAAGAAAAACAAGAAGGAGAGGAATGAACTTAATCAAAGAGAGAACAATGTTGAAGTTTAGTCTCTCATGTCAAATGTATGTGGTGTCTTTTTTCAAAATATTTTCCTGTTCGGCTAATTAATCGTGTAAGTTAATGTCCAAATATGTTGTATCGATCTGAAAGCTGTGTAATTTATTTGTTAATTGTTTTAGTTGGATTTCTTTGTTTCGTATATTACTATTTTACAATGCTTTGTTTAAGACTACAATATTGTGTACTAAAAAACTACAATATGTTAACACTCTTGATCTAAACTCCAAACATATTCTATATATTTCTTTATTTTGAACAAGATCTATAATGTTTGTGCTTTTAAAATTCAAGATTTTACTTTCTTACAAGTTTGTACAGAAATTATTTTAGTCCACTGATCAGAAAGATTAAGTAGGTGGATTAGCTGACAACTTTATCTATAACCATTAGTAAGATGTATGTAATATAAAATTCATTAATCAAAATTGATAGTCTAATTTAAATAAATAAAAATTTATAACCAAATTATGCATATATATATTCTAATCCGTGTTAATATATATAAATACGTATATAATATCATGTTCTATTCAATCCACAATCTATGTTGTGAAATTCGGAAATGGGGTGAACGTTTTGAAGAAGCACAATTTCGCTATGTATCTCGTCAATGTAATGAGCCTGCTCATCTTTTGGCCACATCTCTTTCTAGTGATACTTTGTTCTATTCAAGTTGTATAAAACCACCTCTGTGGTTATCATCTTCCCTTTATAAGAACTATGTAAACTCTTCTATTTCTACTTAATATAATTTCTTGTTTCGTCGAAAAAAAAAATGTATATAATATCATATCACTTTCACAACTAAAATTTTATTTATATGTTAACCTGCACAATAAAACTAACTCAAATTTTTTATGACGATTATATATATATATACATAAATTTTGGGTGTATGATGTCAATATATAAATAGTTGCTAAATAATTTTAACTCAGCCAAAAGTTTATTTTAAAAAAAAATTCGTAAAGAATCTAAAAAAATAATAAATTATAATAAGATTAGAAAATAGAAAGTAGAAGTATTATTGTTATCAAAAGAGGTTATTGGGAAGAAGATTTATGTAAAATTTGTGGATTTAAAAAATCTAGAGATTTTAAGAATCTCAAAGATTTCTGTGGATTATAAAAATTTACCAATATTTTTAGTGATTTTGTAATAACTTTTGTAGATTGTCGTAGATTTTCAATGCAAACAATAAACAAATTAATTTTAAAGAAAGTGAAACAAATTGAATCACAACAACTAGAGAGTTTACTAATAATTAGAGAGACATAATAACTTCTAATATGTGGCAAGATGCAATATCAACTGGAAGTCAATGATGATGATGAAGTATATCAGTTTCTTGATTTTGAGACACATGTGCTTGTAGCTGATAGAATTGAAATATGTGTGTTATGCAGGTCTTTTGATGGATAAATTGCTTGTTATCTCATGGAAAAGATAAAGCTATAGACAAATTTTTGGAATTTTGTAACATCTCTATCCCGAATTCTCTAAAAAGACCGAAAAATCGGGTATGTTTTGTTGGTAGTCAAACCTCATTCGGTAAAGCATCAGGTTTTCTCATGGATTTGATAGCCGGCCCGTCTGGTTTTCGGAAGGGAAGAAGGAGCGGAATCTCACATTTTTATTTATATGTTGCTGAGATTTTGTCTTGTTAAACATGTTGTTGTGGTATTGTTTATTATGGATTTGTTTTTGGTTTGTTTTTTTGGGATAACTGATGGTGATGAATAGATAATATATATTGGAGAAAGATTTTAAGAATACACAGGGTACCTCTAGAATATTGAAAGTCATTGCTAATGACTAAAAATATAAAGAATCATTGTTTTAATAACACTATAGTTTAATAGAATTGAAAAATCAATAAATACTTAACTCTTTTAATAACACAAATTTTTTAAAAAATTTATATAATCAACACACCAATAACATAAGATTTCCAAAATCATTATACCAATAACAGAAGATTTTAATAAAAATATAATAATCTACAAACTAATAACAATATAATTTTAAACTCTAAAAATTTTTAAAAATTTATCTTCCAATAACATCCACCAAGTATCTAAGATATTGGGCCTAATTGGGCTAATCGAACCAGAGGTTCTTGGCCGTGGTATGCGTAAGAAAACACAATCTGTGAGGCTCGCTGATCATGTTCTCACTCTCCTACATAACCTTTATCCTACCGCGACACCATATCCTATAGATAACTACTTGTCTAGTGCCCAATTTTTGGATTCATACCAGTCCTTCATCTACGCCATAACTGCAGGTTCAGAACCGAAAAGTTACAAAGTTGCATTTGAAGATGAGAAGTGGCGTTTTGCTGCCGAGGATGAAATGGTTGCATTAGAGGAACTTGGAACCTGGACTATCGAAGATTTGCCTCCAGGGAAAAAGGCTCTCGGTTGTAAGTGGATTTTTAAGTTGAAATTCAACTCAGATGGTACACTTGAGCGGCATAAAGCCAGGCTTGTAGTCCTCGGAAACAACCAAACAGAGGGTGTCGATTACAACGAAATATTTGCTCATGTAGCAAAGATGGTTACAGTTCGAACGTTTCTTCAACAAGTTGCGTCAAATGATTGGGAAGTGCATCAGATGGATGTTCATAAGGCCTTCCTTCATGGCGATTTAGACGAAGAATTTTATATGAAATTTCCACCTGGTTTTCAGTCCAATGAACCCAAAAAAGTTTGTTGTCTTCACAAGGCTCTTTACGGTTTGAAGCAAGCTCCCAGATGCTGGTTTGTGAAGCTTGCTACAGCTCTCAAGGAGTACGGTTATGAGCAAAATGGATCGGAATATTCTTTGTTCATTTATGAAAATGAGGATATTCTTCTTCACGTACTTGTGTACGTCGATGATCTCATCATCACGGGTAACTCTGCTTCTCTTGTTTCGGTTTTCAAGGAATATCTCAGTGACTGTTTTTGCATGAAAGATTTAGGACTTCTTCGGTATTTCTTGGGTATCGAAGTAGCTCACAGCTCGGAAGGAATCTATCTCTGTCAACGCAAATACACGCTTGATATTCTCACAGAGACTGGCTTACTTGGCTCCAAACTGGTTGTGTTTCCATTGGAACAGAACCATAAACTGGCGTTGGCTAAAGGTGCTTCCATGACTGAACTGTATCTTTATCGACGCTTGGTTGGAAAGCTCATTTATTTGGGAGTTACAAGACCGGAATTGTCTTATGTCATTCATGTTCTTTCATAGTTCATGTATGCTCCTAAACAGGCTCATTGGGATACAGTTCTTCGCGTCGTCAAGTATCTCAAAAACAGTCCAGGACAGGGGATTCTTCTTCGTGCAAACACACCGTTAACATTGACGGCTTGGTGCGACTCGGACTGGGCATCTTGTCCGCTCACTCGTCGCTCACTCACAGGATGGTTTATACAACTTGGGGGTTCACCATTGTCTTGGAAGACTCGCAAACATGATGTTGTCTCTCGCTCCTCGGCTGAAGCCGAATATCGAGCTATGGCGGATACAGTGTCTGAGATACTTTGGTTACGTGAACTACTTCCTACTCTAGGTATGGACTGCTCGGCTCCAACGATGTTGTATTCTGATAGTCTTTCTGCGATCAAGCTTGCTAAGAATCTTGTGTATCATGCTCGCACAAAGCATGTTGAACTTGATTGTCACTTTATTCGCGATGAGATTATATGAGATACGATCTCCCCTGGCACATGTGTCTACTACTTCCCAATTGGCTGATATTATGACAAAAATTTTAGGAAGAAAAGAGTTTGAAGCATTTCTTTGCAAGCTGGGTGTTCGTAACCTCCACACGCCACCTTAAAGGGGGAGAGGGGGTATTAGGCCTAATTGGGCTTACATAATTAGGCTTAGGTTTTTGTATGTACATCACACATACTTGTATAAAAGGCATTGCCTCAACAATTTGATCAATAAGAAATCTCTTTACCACATTCACGATTTCTTGACATAAGACTTCGATTGATCTGCTACCGGGCTTTTGTCTGAAACATATCCATGTAAGCGTGTTCGACGTGGCTTTTGGACCGACTGTTTGATAAGGAACAAGAGGCCGTAGATAATTCATACTACACAAGTCTTGCCGTCGACTCTTTATAAGGTAGGAACGAGCCGTCTAAAGTTACTATTTCGTTTAAAAGTCTTCTTCAATCTTCGTAGTCCTAATTTAGTAGTTTACTGGGTTATTAGATATCAGTTACAGCCTAACTATTTTGTTTTGTTGCTTTTCTTTCTTTTATTTCATAGTCCTAATTTAGTAGTTTACAGCCTAACTATTTTGTTTTTTTCTTTTGTTTTTTCTTAATTCTTACAAAATATAAAAGATCATGTGGTTAAAGAAAGTGTTAATTTATATATCTATACCAAAAAATGTGGTGTTCGAATTTTTCCAGATTAATGAAAGTAAACTTACAATAAATATTCGACATAGTGCAATGGTGCAAATAAAGTTATTCGTTGTAATTCTAATCTGTTAATTTTTGTGAAACAGATAACTTATGAGTTAAAAAATTGTTCTACTAATTGATTTTTTTTTTAATTTATAATATAATACGGCAAAAAAGAAATTCATACAAAACTAAAAAAAAAAAAAGATGATGGAAGTTTACAAAAAGAAAAAAGATGTAAGATTTCAAAGCCAAATAAATAAAACGTTTGCTAAATATCAATTGTTACTTTGATAATGACCTCAGTAATCATTAGTATACATGTATTTATGCCATGTTTTGGGTCTATTAAAAAACTTGATGGATAGATTACTTGACGGCTATATTTACGCTAATTTTTTTATCATGTATCATTCTAGAAACTTTTGATTAAATTTTTAAAGCTTGACTAGATTTTGCGTCCACGCTATGCGAGGGTATTTTGTTAATAAAAATTATATGCAATCAATTATATTTATTAAGATATAAATTTTATATATTAGTGATTTAATAATATATTAAAAATATTATAATGTTAATATAATAATTTTTATGTAAATTTTGAGGTTTTAACGGTTTTGTTTTAAATCTATATACAATATGTCATATTTTAAAAATGTATTATTTGGTCAAACATTTATAAGTTAATATACCCAAATCAACTAAATTTTTTTATAAATTAGTCAAATGGTACTTACTAAACATAATATTGACATGATGATAAAATATTATACGTTCACTTCTTTAAATCATGAAGATAATTTTTTTCATGGTTCACTTTTCTTCCAATTATATATGTATTTTTTAAAAACAATAATAAATTTAAAAATTAATCTTTTTTTTTTCTCTTGTTTAACCGATACAAATTTTTTTATTTTGTTATATTAATTTAAAAAACAAACTAATAAATAAAATATTTGCTTTTAGATTAATAACAACTTTAAATTTGAAACCAAAATATTATTTGAATATAAAATAAAGAAAATCATACAAAATTTGTGAATTAAATATATTTTTATCAATTGGTTGTGTAAACGTTTAAATAATTTTTCAATGATTATACGTCATTGATTCTAATAAGAATGATTTTTTTTCATCATGTTTATTTTTGTTATATCTGTTTTTTCAACTAATAGATCATATTTATTTATTTAAATGATTTTTATATGATTATATTCAGTTTCATCATATTCAATCTTACTTCTTTTAATTATATTTAAGTAGGCAGTCGGTACAATTTAATACATATAAATTTAAAAAAAATAAAATAACAAATTGAAATCCTCAAAACTAAAAACTTCTACATTAATCTATTGCAATTCCAAACCGAATATACAAAATATAAATTTTTCGATCATTTTTGCATAATATATTAAATGAGATTATGTGGAAATATGTTTTGCATATGTGAAAAAATTAATATAAATTATAATTATTAGTTATTTAAAATTCTAAATGAAAAGTCTTAAAATCAAGTAACATAAACTTGTATAAGTAATATATAGTTTTATAGATAATAAATTAAATTTATAATTTAAACAGTAATAATGAAGATTTTAATATCATGGTTTTTTATTATTAGAGATTTTTTATTCTTTAATTTACTTTCTCAATAGAATTAGGAAATTTTTTTAAATTTACAATTTTGATATATACGAATAAATTTTAATTTTTAAATGCTGATGTGGATGCCTTGAAAATAACATAACTTTAATTTTTATTCATAATAGAATAGTTTTAATTAATAATTTTTCTATATTGTTTAGTATTAACAATGTAATTTTATAATTTAGATTTCTTTTTTTAATGTTAGTTATTGATGTACACTAATAAAATTGACCTTTTAAATCTTATGTGGATGTCTTTAGAGGCATATAGCTTATATATTTATTTTTCTATAAACATATTTTTTGTTAACCATATAATTTTAAATTTTGAAAATTTTTTCTAATTTTAAATATTGATGTAAACCAATCAAATTGAACATTTACATCATATGTGGACATTCTTAGAGGCATATAGCTTTTAATTTTTTTTTAATAATAGATTTAGAAATCAAAGTTGGAAGATCCCACACGAGGCAAGTGATTATGGTCTCTCCTTGTTTTTTGGCTTACCGAATGTATTCGCATGCTGCTTGGTCAACTAATTGTTACTTTTTTGGTTAATGTTAGGTTGTTAAAACCCCATCAGATGTTATGTTATTTCAAAAATCTTCGGCTTAATGACAGAACTTCTTTCTCTATTTTCAGTGCTTCGTTTTTCAAAAGTGTCATGATTTTGGTCTCGCCTCCTTGTTTTTGAGGCTTACCTAATATATTTGGATGCTTCTTGGTCAGCTAATTGTTACTTTTGTGCTTAATGTTAGGTTGTTGAAATCGTATCAGATGCCATGTTATTTCAAAAATCTTCCTCAAATAACTTAATCTCCTTCGTCTTAATGACGAAACATCTTTCTCTATTTTTAGTGCTTTGTTTTTTAAAAGTGTCGAGTATCAATCACTTGACATGTTTCTCGGATTGCTTGAAATTTATCATTCTTCTCAAATTTGGTGGCCAAACTTATTTTTCGGTCTCTTTTTCGATATTAAAGCAGTTTGTAAAGACTTTGTTTATATCTCGTTTCATTATATTCTTTATAATTTAGCTAATAGCTAAACTTATAGTTTAGCCAAGTTGGTTATTTTACGTTGTAATGACTCATTTTTTTGTGAAACCTAACTCTATTTTTTTTTTTTAATTTGAAATGGTTGTACACACAAAAAAAAAACTTAAAAAATTATTATAGTTATGTGACAAAAATTTGGATACTAATGTAAGAATCTCTAAATATGTGTGTATACATCTAATTTAAATTTAAAATTTTCTATTTTAATATTATTTATTTTAGTTTTTTATTATTAACAAAAAATTTATATATAATTACTTTATCTTTAATAATTTTTAAAAATAATAATGGAATTTGAAAAAAAAAAGTAATTTTCAATGTTGAGATGGACCAATAAAAAATTTATATAGAATTTTTTTAATCAACAATAATCAGAATTTGTAAACTTTCTTAATTTATTTATTTAGCAACAATATTAAAAATTTGTAAACTTTTCTTATTTTTGATTGTTGATGTGGACCAATAGAATTGCCATTTTTAATCATATGCATTTAACTTCAACTTTTATTAGTATAAGATAAGATATGCAATTACGTTCTATAAAAAATAAGTTTATTGGCCAAATTAATAAAATTGAATGAAAATTTTTAATATTTTTAAGGTTTCATCCATATTCTAACATCTTTTCGCATTTTGATTCAAATATAGAGATATTTTCGAAGTACCAATCTTGTCTCAGGATCTTATCGTATTATCTATCTGGATTTTTAATTACTGAAAATAGTTATATTGTCTCAGGATCTTATCGTATTATCTGGATTTTTAATTACTGAAAATAGTTATATCGCCGCCAAGATGGAACTAGTCATTGTTTAACGCACCTGTCCTCAACTATTCTCATAATATCTTCTTTCTTTTTTGTCGGAACTATTCTCATAATATCTAAGAGAAACAATTGAAAATATTATATAAGATATCCACATAGAATGAAATTTTACATATTTTAATTAAATCTTCAGAGTTAAGACCAGAAGTCAGAAGCTTCCAAACAGATGACAAGAAATGGTAATTTCACTGTCTCAACTCATTTCTATGATATTATCTGATAAACACTGAGAATTCCAATTTTTCTTTAACTAACAGAAGAATCAGAACAAGTTCAGAATCCAGAACCAGACCAGAGCTTGAGCCAAAGAAGATTGTTGATGCTAAATCAAAGAAAATGGTGGATCTCTGTTTCTTTATGTCTTTTCTTAGTCTTGCTCGGAGATTCTCTCGTCATGCTTCTCTTGAACTTCTTCTATGTCCAAGACAATCGAGAAGATTATGACCAAGATCTACAGTACAAAGGAACATGGACTCAAGCTCTGATCCAAAACGCTGCGTTTCCAATCCTTATCCCTCTCTTCTTTATATTTCCTTCACCAAAACCAAACCCTGAAACCAACAATACTCGTTTCCTCTCTTTTCGTCTTCTCATGCTTTACTTCGCTCTTGGTGTTCTTGTTGCTGCTCATAGCAAATTATTCGCGCTTGGGAAGTTATACGCAAACTATGCCATATTCACGTTGATTTCCGCCTCCCAGTTGATATTTACCGTGATTTTCACTGCCATTATAAACCGATTCAAGTTTAACCGATGGATTATCATATCTATAATCCTCACTCTTGTTGTATACCTTTTCGGTAATCCTGAATTTGGAGGAGAGCCTGTTGAAGCCGAAGTATCCTATAGCAAGCAAGCTTGGTTAACCTTTGCTGCTGTAGTTGCTTTCGCATTATATCTCTGTTTATTCCAACTAGGTTTCGAGAAACTTTTGGTGAAGACAAAGAGATATGGTAACAAGAAAGTGTTTAGAATGGTCTTAGAGATGCAAATATGTGTATCTTTTGTGGCCTCGGTAGTTTGCCTTATTGGTTTGTTTGCGAGTGGTGAGTTTAAGGAGTTGAAAGGTGATAGCGAGAGGTTTAAGAAGGGGAACATATTACGTTTTGAGTTTGGTCGGGTTGGCTTTGTCGTGGCAGGTTTGGGCGGTCGGGCTAGTAGGTTTGGTGCTTTATGTTTCGGGTGTGTTTGGTGATGTTGTACATATGTGTGCTTCACCACTTGTGGCTTTGGTTGTTGTGTTGGCATTTGATTTTGTGGATGATGAGTTTAGTTGGTCTAGAATAGGTGCTTTGATAGGAACCGTTTTGGCTTTAGGATCTTACTTCTGCTCACTGTACAAGAATAGCAAGAAATATCAAAGAGAACCAGAAAACAATGTTGAAGCTTAGTCTCTCATGAGTCATGTTAAATGTATGTTATTGTCTTTTTTTTTTTCATCAATATTTTCTCGTTCTACTTAATCTTATATGTCAATGTCTACTCTGACAATTATGTACAGTAAATTTTTTATAAAATAATACTATTATGACTACGATATTTTATTAATTTATCGTTTTATCAATTTATAAAAAAATGTTTGTGTAAGTAATATTTTTAAATTTATTTTTTTATACTTTACTATTTACATATTTTATATTATGTCAAGATGAATCAACTGTCATTTATGAACTTCAAGGTTTGATTATTAATCTCGGTTATCAATATACTCGACTATCTATGAGAAAATACCATATGCTCAAAATTTCAGAATTTAGAAAAAGAAATTGTAGTTACTGTTCATAATGTATTAATGTTGATGATGAAATTGAAAACGATGCTATTAAACTTTTGAAAACAGTTTCATATAAGGAAGCAATTATATGATTTCAAGAACTTTTCATAAATTTTTGGATGCAGATTGAAAAAACAACTCTATGATTTTTAAAGATTTATGATTATAAATTATGTTTTTGTTGGAACAATATATTTATATAAAAATTTCAAAAATTTATTATCTTATATCTTATTGAATTTGATAAATTTTTATATAAACCAATTCGAGACCAAATAATATTATTAATTTATGTTTATTAATTTATAAAAGATTATTTAATAAAGGTTTTACTGTAATTTATTTGTTAATTAATTGTTTTAGTCTGATTTCTTCTTTCTATATTACAATGCTTATATACTATTAAAACAAAAGCATGATTTGTGTCCAAACAGGTTTTACTTGGTTTTATACTAATCTGTTTTTGGATAATTTCTATTTATGTTACCAAACAAATCAATTTAATGTAATATTAATAAAATAATATATTTTAATTTATATTTCATAATAAGTTCGAAAATTTAAATTTGAATTTAGATTTTTTCATAGATTTCATTAAATATAGGTTATATTATTTATTAAAAATTATAAAATAAGTTATTATTATATTTTTACAAAATAATAAATCTAATATTAATTTAGATTTAATTTAAATATTTAAATTTAAATAAAATTTCAATAAAAAAATAAAAATGATATATTATTATATATTTTTATTAAAAAAATTTAAATTTTTATATGTTCAAACTTAAAAAAATATAAAATATACAAATAATATGAATGGACGAGTTAAAATTATGTTTTAATAATTGCGGTTCTTTTCGAATTAATATAAATGGATATGTTATAATGATGTTTTTATAATCATTGTACTTTTCGTATTAATATGAATGGACGAATTAGAATAATATTTTTCTAATTGTAGTCATATATATACTAAAAAAACAAATCAATATAAGCAACTTAGTAGAAAATTATCCCTTAATAGAATATTATATATAAACAAAAATAAATCTTTATCCCTTAGTAGAATATTATATATAAACAAAAATAAAAATAAAAATTATATTATAAAATTTGATAAATTAAAAATAGTTCTCGTGCGAATGTACGAGATAAAATCTAGTTGTTTATTAAGACTTGTATTCAGTTCCTTTATAGAAAAATAGAGTAGACATTAATACACTTAATATTTAAGTGAACCAGATGAATACTCACATATCCACGTGAGATTTTTGTAATGCATTTTTTTAATCTCACAAATTAGTGACCTTATTACAGTGCAAAAATCTATTGATTATCCCCATTATACAACTGATGATAAAAACATTAAGTTGTTCTAAAAATTATTGTTCAATTTGAGCGTACAGATGAATTTTAAGACTATATGAAAATTCTCTCAACTCCTATGAAAATTTCATAGCTCTCGCTTAACCATAATCATATAAATTTTCTTTGTTTTACATCATCAGAAATAATCGTTGCAACATTAGGATATTCGTTAATCTCTAAACCCACTTTAAAAACTTTTTTGCTATTTTGGAATTGTATTTTCTAGAATACTTAATTAGACGGTAACAGTTGCCAATGAAATCTTCAAAAAACACAATCCTATTACAATACCGCACACACACACTTGTTCTTCTTCCTATTGTTTATCTCTGCTTTGTCATTAATCTCCTCATCTCTCTCTCTCTTCTCTCCTTTATTTCTCTTCCTCCTCGGTTCCTCCTCACAAACTCCTCTCCTCTATTCTTCTTCTTTTCTCTTTCTTTCTTATTACTCTTCTTATCTCTCTCGGCTTCTTACGGCTACTCCCCTTCTTTTTTTATTTTTATTTTGTTCAGTAAATAACTTGTATATAAAAAGAGATACATTAGTTGGTTTAAAGGGAGAAAATTGTAAATGTATAGTTCTAATAAATATATAAAAGAGCAGCAAATACTGACAGTAAATACATTACTCAGTCAAAATAATCCTTTAGCGTCCTATTTTTAATCTCATACATGTTAACATATAAGTTATACAATTACATAACGTATTATAAAACTATATAATTTATTAAGGGAAAACGACATATTTTCCCCTCCAAAGTTTTATATAGTAACAGATCCATCCAACCAAACTTTCGACTTCGACATAAATCTCTATAATTTGAAAGTTGAAAACGTATTTCTCCACAATTTAAAAATTCGAAACATATTTACACATAAATCCTGGTTTATTTTGGTTTACACGGTTTAATTTGGTTTATAGTGTTTCAATCCGATTTTAACCACTTAATTTTAAATTAAACCCTACAAATTGAATTAACTTTAACCAAAAATAAAAAATCAGCCAAAGTATTATAAATGGAATTCTTGAAAAGTTTTATGAGCTTGAGATCTCTAAGGATCAACCAAAAATGTGTTTTTAATTTTTTACTTTTATATGTGTTTCTAATTTTTTTTTAATTCTAAAGTGAACTTCCTTATCAGCCAAAATTGTAAAAGTCAGAAAAGAAGAGCAAGATGACAAAGAAAAAGAAAAACCTTGAGGAGTATAAGAAGAGAAGAATAAGCCAAAGAAAAGAACGGAAGAGAATATAAACTAAAATATAAAGAATAAGAAGAAGATTACAAAGCAGAAAAATTTGAGGATGAAGATGGGACGATGAAAATCAAAAAAATATTAAGCCGGAGAATGAAGACGATAAAAATGGAAAATCGGAAAAGAAAGATGGAAACAAACCAGAAAGGAAAGAAGAAGAAGAATTTTTGGAAAAAACAAATATGATAAATGAAGAAGAAGTAGAAGTTAAAGGACATAAAGAAAACAATTATAACAAAATGGAGAGAGCATTCTAGGGATAAAGAGACTAAAAAAATTAGCTGGAAAAGAGAAAGAAAAAGAACCGTTCGTAATTAAAATTATTGTATAACTGAATAAAACATTATTGGTCGTAGATTTTTACAAATAATATTAGTTATTCTTATTTTTTTTACTGGTCAAAAATCTAACATTATTGTTATATTGATCATCAATTTTTTACCAGTAACAAAGTTAATAAATTAATAATATGATTAGTTTATAAAATCTAATTGTCTGCTCAAAATGTAAGCTAAACATCTAGTTTTTTTCAGAAAAAATAAAAGAATTTTTTTTTGACCATTCAGCATAATTTTTCAGGTCGATTTAGTTTTCCAAAAATTATTCATCGATGGTTCAGAGAATTAATTAGACTCCTGATTATTGAGTAACCCTCTATATTTTAACCTGATTAAAGATTTAGACTGTGATTGGTAATCTGTGGAAACGCAATTCCGCAAAAATTTTGCCAATAAAAAAAATCTTGAATGAAAAATAAAACGCGAAAATACAGTCTGCGTTTTTGCTTAACAAAAATACAAAGAAAAATCCATTAAGCAGAAAAATGAGTATTAAATCGTTTATTCTGTAGGTTTTTTCCGTAATTCTACAATTATGCATTCCGCAAAACAGAATTATACAATGCATTACAATGAGCTTGTAAATAAGAATTTTAATTCCTTTATTTTCTCTTGAACCTCTCTCTTTTGTTTTAAAAAACGGTAAAAATCGACAAAACAAACCACAGAGAAAGAAAAATGGAAAAAACAAAGAAACAAGTAAAATCTAGTGATCAGCTTTTTCCATTTAGTGATTAAATCAACAGAAAATCCTTGTCGATTTCCCTTATTTCAATCGAAGAAGACGCTCATCAAATGCGTGATTTTTACCTTCCGTTCTTCTTCAGTACAGCTCAAGGTGATCGATCATCTTCACGATACCGCTCAGAATCAGTTGAAACGTTTTGCTTCTTTTGGCTTCTAATTGAGCAATTTCGACCTCTTTTCTTTGGAGGAATTTAGGGTTTGTTTTTATTTATAAGTAACTTACTGATTTTTCGGGGTTTTTGTTTGTGTAGAAACTGAGTAAAGGACAGGCCTTTGTCGGCTTTAGTCAAGAACAGATCTGGTTTTGTCATAATTCGTCTGGGTTTCAATTTTGCGAAAGTGGGAACCTTTACTATTAGTGTTATTACCACTATTTCAAAGTTTAATGGTGCTTCTGAAAAGCTGAAATTTTTATTACGATTTTTGACTTTTCGTGTTTCTATGTGATCACAATAACTTCAGAGTTCAGAACAAATCATTGTAAGCTTGAAAATTAGGTTCTCTGCTAATTTAATTCCTTTGTTCACATGTAAATGGTCCAAAGCTTCTGCTAATATGTCTCTTCTTTCATTTTTTCTTTGTTGGCTGAAATGTTTGTAGTGATTGATCAAGGGAACATAAGCAACTAGAGATCTTGGTGAGTTTTGCATGTTCCTATTCTCCTGCTTTTCTGCTTAAGAGCTCTGATATTTCTTTTGAAAACGACCTTACAATTCTACGAGGAAGGCCGGTGCTTTGATGGGATGGGACACCAACTTGCTAAGGTTTATGGTGCTATCAAGTACTAGTAAGTGTCATCTCAAGAACAATCACAATGGAATCACACATGGGAAATGGAGTAGGTAGTTCCAGATCCGCCAATCCTGTAAAGAACACTTCTAGTTCAGTTGATTGGTTGAACAAAGATATGCTTGAGATGAGGATAAGGGACAAGACGGAGGATGAGGAGAGAGTAAGCTTATACAGTTTTTGCATCTCCTTTTGTATCCCCTTGAGCTGTTCTAGCTTATCTTCCTTTCTCATGCGCTCATCTCTTTAATGAATTAGTTTAAAATGTATTTGACTTTTTTATTTGCTTTGTTGCAGGACAGTGAGCCAGATATCATTGATGGGGCTGGTGCAGAACCTGGCCATGTGATCAGAACCACACTCCGTGGACGAAATGGTCAATCAAGACAGGTTAGATGGTTATTGAGAATTTGTTTCTAGAATGTTAGTGAGACATAATTCTTATACAAATGTTTATCTTTGATTGGCAGACAGTCAGTTACATAGCAGAACACGTAGTGGGAACTGGTTCCTTTGGAATGGTTTTCCAAGTAAGTCAGATTATCTTTCTTCTTGTCTTACTATTGGTTAAGATCCCCCAAAGAATTCTTTTTCAATGTTTCCTTGTGGTAGGCTAAATGCAGAGAAACTGGCGAGGTTGTTGCCATCAAGAAGGTCTTACAAGACAAGCGCTACAAGAACAGAGAATTACAAATTATGCAGATGCTAGATCATCCGAATGTTGTTGGTTTAAAGCATAGCTTCTATTCAAGAACAGAAAATGAAGAGGTGTATCTGAATCTCGTCCTCGAATTTGTTCCCGAGACTGTCAATCGTACTGCCAGAAGCTACAGTAGAATGAAGCAGCTGATGCCACTGATATATGTCAAACTTTACACTTATCAGGTGATTATTTCCTGGATTTGATCTTTTTTTTTCTTGTTTCTCCTTATGTAAGCGTCATATATACTCACTCACAATTGAAGATACATTTTCTATGCAAAGGAACACCCCAAATATTGATCTAACTGTGAATTGGACCTGATAATTTGTTGGACATTCTCCAACGATTTTTGAGAATTTTATGTTATTGGGTACAGATTTGCAGGGCGCTTGCTTACCTTCATAATTGCTGTGGTCTTTGTCACCGTGATATCAAGCCTCAAAACCTGCTAGTAAGTTCCATTTAATTCTCACCGAAATGAAACTGATGACAGATTTACCTTCTTTTCTGTAAGCTATTTTCTTTCCCGCCGCATGCAAGGATTTCAAAGACACTAGTTTACATAAATATAAGACACTGATATTTACTTTCTAGAAGTTTGATCATTTGTAGTAGGTTTTATGCTGACATGATAAATATTTCGTTATAATAGGCCTGGAGGGTAGCGAGGCTATGTATACATCTAGCTAATATTAATTTCACTGGAAATGCTGTTTTGTTTCTTTGGTTCAAATATTTAGAAGTCTCTTCTTTTGATATCATAAAGAATAAACTTGCTTACCTTACCTGCCCATTCATTAAAATTTTTCTATAAAATGTGGCCTTGTTTTTATTAAACTGAACTTATATTTGGCTTTACACCGATTGTGATGTGCAGGTGAACCCACACACACATCAGCTGAAAATTTGTGATTTTGGGAGTGCGAAAGTTTTGGTAAAATCGTATCAGCTATTAGCTCTTAGTGGTTTAGTTTTATTAGTCTATGCCTGGAATATGATGTGTTCATGTTCTACAGGTGAAAGGAGAACCCAATATTTCTTACATTTGTTCGAGATACTATCGTGCCCCAGAGCTCATTTTCGGAGCCACTGAGTACACAACTGCAATAGACATATGGTCCACAGGGTGTGTGATGGCTGAACTGCTTCTTGGACAGGTTAAAGCGCTGTTTTTGCATTAGCAGTGTGCTTGTCATTCTATTTGTCACCCTCTTAGATGTGTGTGCTCTCGCGGACTTGTTTCAGCCTCTGTTTCCTGGCGAAAGTGGAGTCGATCAGCTTGTTGAAATCATTAAGGTGGTCTTTCTTGCTATCAATTCTTTGAGGATTAGTGTTGCAAGCACATGTGTTAGGCTTGGCACTGACTAATAGTTGCCTAAAAGCTTTATATAAAAGGTCTTTGTCAGCCTTTTCTTATATTCTTTCTTAATAGGCTTTCAATTGATGCAGGTTTTGGGTACACCAACAAGGGAGGAGATCAAGTGCATGAATCCAAACTACACGGAGTTTAAATTTCCGCAGATAAAACCTCATCCTTGGCACAAGGTATGCCACTAGTAATATTATCCATTATCACCTAATACTAATAAGGTGTTCGTTTATCAATTGGACTCTAGGTGTATATATTTGTTCAAGCGTTGTCTCCGTTTAGTGAGGTTGATTGGAGTATATGTCGTGAATCAACTTTCATATGAGAGACATGACCTAATGACATAGTACTGTGGAATTAAAACAACTTCTTTCTGTGTGGTCTTGATCAATGGAATGTTTGTGGCTTGCTCTATAGAAATTTTCTCCATTTTTGGCTTTATTGAGTGTTTTGCTTGCATCATGTGTTTGTGGTTAATCTCAGGTATTCCAAAAACGTTTGCCACCTGAAGCAGTAGATCTACTTTGTAGGTTCTTCCAGTATTCTCCTAATTTGAGATGCACAGCGGTAAGTTATTCATAGTTTTTCTCTGACTTTGTTACATATTTTGTCTGACTTTGTTACATATTCTACATCTCATGGTGTTCTGATAGGTGGAAGCTTGTATGCACCCGTTCTTTGATGAGTTAAGAGACCCAAACACTCGCCTCCCAAACGGTCGGCCACTTCCTCTGCTTTTCAACTTTAAACCACAAGGTACCGCTCTTTATTTGCTACTTCTTATTATGAATCTGAATATGAATCTGTGATCCTTCATCAAACTCTGTTGATGTACCTTATGTCCTACAGAGCTCTCTGGCATCCCTCCTGAAACCGTGGACCGGCTTGTCCCAGAACATGCCCGTAAGCAGAACCTCTTCATGGCGTTGCACTCGTAACTTGTTTTCTGCGCAGCATATCGGTGTTCTCTTCTCTATAAGCTTTCTAGCAGCTCTCAGTCTTTGGTTTCGGTGAGGTCTTTCTCCCTTCGTCACTCTCTCTATGTTTGTGTTTTTTGCCAATCTTTGTTGTGTCGAAGTGGCGATGCATGAATATTACACTACTTTGTTGGACGGTGATATAGAGAACAGATATATATGTATACTTGTTAACATTTTGAAAGACTCAAATGTGGACTGACAATTCCAAGCCATAACACATTATCCAAAAATATTGTTGATATAAGCTGATTATCTGTGGTTCAGATTGGTTTAGATTCGAACATAAACAAGAACGCACAGGACGTTTGTGAAAGTTTTTATCCTTTCATACAAGTGACAACAGAATCCAAAAAAAAAAAAAATTGATTCATAACAAAACAAACTACAATGTAAAAATCTCCTAAAATTTGATAAGAGGTGCTGGACCGAAACATGAGCAAGAACACATAGGAAGTTTGTTCGTTTGACCTATATATATTATTAAACTGAGACTAAGCAATTGGTAGATATTAAAATGCCAAAAATGAAAAACCAGAATGTGTTTGTCCAACCCAAAACAAAAAAACCACAATGTAAAATAATACTTCTTGTTCTCTTCATCTAAAAGTCTCTTAAGGGATGGGATCAAACTAGGAACATAAACAGAGCAGTGTCGTATCGTACCAACCAAATCATGTATTATAATCTCTCCTCACATTATACACCTCGCAATCCCGTATAGTCTTGTGGCTACAACACATGACGAAGCTCTTTCCGTATATATTATCATCGACCAAGTAACTTGTGTAAGAACGAGAATATGAGCAGACAAGAAGAATCAATTAAACAATCGAATGGATTCCGCAAATTCTCTATTTGCTTTATTAGAAATCACTTAAACATACTCTTTACATGTTGTTTAATCAAAATTACGCAACATCACAACTTGATTTGTCACTGACCAATTTCTAATCTATCCAAGAACTCTAGAACACTTTTGTTTTTCTGTTCTAAATCTCGACAGCTAACTCTAACGCTTATGTGTTACAAGTCTTATATACTCTACAACTCCTCAAATTGGAATCTTCCTTTTCTTTAGATTTGATATTTTCCACGATTTTGCTGACTTCTTTAGCTCTACTCACGTCATGCCACGTCAACTCTTTTTCATGACATAATTTTCTTCGCTAAGACAATCTTGTGTTGCATAGACAATTATGTTGTGTAACCACCTCGTTCCTTGGTGCTAACAATCTTCCCTTTTTTGTCTGAGTGTGACACCTCAAACATTTTGCATCCTGAGCTTCTTTATTCTCTGCTCTCTCAATCTGGATCTGTTTCTTCCATCTATTCTTCTCCTGCTTGAGTGCACACTCAGAGAAAAATAACAAGAATAACACAAGGAAATCCTTCATCATTCCTAACACTTCATCTGTTGTCTCCTTTTGTTTTATTTCTTCAAGGACACCACCCTTTTTCTGAATGTTGTTTTGATTTGTAGTGCTTGTGAACAAAACATCAATGTTAGTAGCTTCTTCTTTGCTGGTTTCACACAACTCCTCGTGACGTTCATTGATTTCTGCAAGTACCAAATTGCACACAACATTATTTTGTGTAACACAGACCTCTGCAGTTTTCTTAGATTCAACTAGTTCCGATCTCTGCATCAATGCTATCTTGGTCTCAGCTGACTGTCTAGAATACAGATGTTTCTTGACTATCCACACCTTCCCATAGTGTCTTCTCTCAAGGTAGCAATTGTTGTTACTCCAAGCCTCTCTGATTTTCTTCTTTAACTCAAAACAATTTCTCTTAAAGTGACCACTCTTTTCACAATAGTAGCATGCTTTTTTTTTTTTCTCTGAGAACTTCTTTCTCTAAAGAAACATCTGACCCATTAACTTCCACTTCAATATCCTTGTTTATCTCTTTTTTCTCCACTGTTGGAGCATTCTCAAGCTCAAGAATATTAACTTTAGCTTCCAAGAGAGCTTTATCTTTCTGCAACTGCAGGTTGTCATAGCTTAATTTTACCCAGTTATCATAAAGCAGTCGATACTCAGCCTTGACATCAATTTCATCATCTTCATCTGATTCAGGTTCAGAATCAGATTCCTTTTCGTTGATTTCTTTCCCAGGTTTCATAATTCCATGCAAGGCCACGAAATTAAGACCATCTTCATCTCTGTATGACTCTGTATCACTGCAACTTTGAACAATTTTCTTCTTCCTTTTCTGTGTTACACAGTTTGCTTTTGTGTGACTGTAATTGTTGCACGCATTACACTTGATTCCTTTTTCCTTGAACGATGGACAAACTGCTTTGACATATTCAATGCCATGACACTTGTAACACTCAACTTCATGTCTTTTCTGTCTTCGTTCGTTTATTGAAAATCTTTCAGTGAATGTCTTAAACCAGAGATCTACTTCTTCTTCAAGTTTTTAAAACATCAAGCGAACATCTTCTTCAATTTTTTGAAACTTGTGCTGGTCTTCATCAACTGTAAATGCTAGATCTCTTATAACTTTGGGTGATTTAGATTCCATTTCCATCTCCTCAGCCTTTAACATCCCTACAGTCTCAGTAAACTTAAGCTCATCAGTATTCATCGTCATCTTAATCACAGCTTTCCGTGATGCAAATTTAGCAGGCAAGCATCGCAAAAATTTCTTCACCAATTTTGCGTCTTTGTATTGTTTACCCAAAACTCGTGCTTCATTAGCTATTGAACTGAGCTTGGCACTGAATTCTGATATCTTCTCATCGTCACTCATTCTAATGTTTTCAAACTGAGATGCAAGCAAATCTAGCTGTGTTCTCCTGACGTTTGATGTACCCTCAAAAGCATTTTGTAGTATATCCCATGCTTCCTTAGCTGATTCACACCCTTGTATTAATTCAAATTTTTTTTGATCCACCGAATTAAAGATTTTGTTCAATGCCTTCCAATTAAATTTTGATAGCCTTTTTTCTGTTGCGGTCCACCTTGTCTTGGGTTTAATTTTCTTCATCCCATCTTGTGATGTCACACACGGTTCTTCCCAAACATACTCAATCGCTTTGCCTCCTCATCGATTCCACTAATATTAGCCCTCATTCTCAGTTTCCAATACCCGTAATTTGTATCATCTAACAACAAGGGACTACAAACACCAATTAGTTGTGCAGATGTTGTCATATTCTCTTCTCAGGATCTCACCTTTGTTCGAAGCATACTCCTTCGGCTAGGTGTCCTGCTCTGATACCAATTGTAAGAACGAGAATATGATTAGACAAGAAGAATCAATTGAACAATCGAACGGATTCCGCAAATTGTCTATTTGCTTTATTAGAAATCACTTAAACACACTTTTTACAAGTTGTTTAATCACGTAACATCACAACTTGATTTGCCACTGACCAATTTCTAATTTACCCAAAAACTCTAGAACACTCTTGTTCTCCTGTTCTAAATCTCGACGGCTAACCCTAACACTTAGGTGTTACAAGCCTTATATACTCTACAACTCCTCAAATTGGAATCTTCCTTTTCTTTAGATTTGATATCCTCCACGATTTTGATGACTTCTTTAGCTCCACTCATGTCATGCCACGTCAGCTCCTTTTCACGGCATAATTTTCTTTGCTAAGACAATCTTGTGTTGCACAGACAAGTATGTTGTGCAACCACCTCGTTCCTTGGTGCTTCAACTTGTATATTGGTCGTCTTTTGAACAAGGGATGTTAGGTATTAAGACACTCATGAACTTAATTCACTCCACGTCTCCACATCGTCTTCATTAATAATTTTCTTCTTTGTGACCCAAATCTTAATCTTCTCTGTTATATAGCATTGTTCTAACAAAGAAAATCAATCTCCCTTGTAAACCGCCAGGAAATGCCTATGTTGTTTCACAGTGCACGGTAGAATACAGAAAGACTTCAGTATCTCTTTCAAAAAATCAAAGATTCGGACAAAACACTCAGTGCACAATGAGATTATAATCAGTCCAATACAAATTTACATTCAGGGACACATTGTTATAAGATAATGTTCCTTTGTATTGTTTCCATTCAGGGACACACTGATGGGTTTTGAGATTATAATCAGTTTGTATTGTAAACATTCCTTCATGATATAGGTTATCATCAACAAACTTCCATGCATTGGTTGCAAATTCGTAGATGGCCATTCTCAGGTTGCTAGTATACCCAACGATCTTATATCTCCTTTCTGGTCTACTATTATCGTAACCCATGCCAATTATATACAATCTCCATTGGTTAAGCTTGATATCAATCAACCTAGCCTGTCTCAAACACGGGTTCCAAACTGTGGCTCCTTCATTAGACTTGTCATAAAAGAAGAAGAGCCCATCGCAGTTAAACGAGGCTAAACCGTGAGTATCAAAGGAAGTGGTTAACTCACGCACTTTTATGTTGTCATTGAGATTGAGGCTTGTCGAATAAATCTTGGATTTGGTCTGTAACATGAATTCTGAGGGAGCTCTTGCGCAAGCAAAGTGGTTGTTGACGAATCTCCTCTCCTTGAAAAGAGCGTTCCATTCTCTACAAACGGCTCCGAAGCGAACTAGAGATTGAGGTGGAACCCTAGTGAGTATCTCTTCCTTCAACTCTGACCGAAGCTTTCTCGACACCATTAGGTTTTGTTTGTGATTTTTTTTATCCTTATCTTATAGCATGTGCATCGGTAGAAACTCATAAGAGTTTTTAAAAAATATTTTAATATCAAAACTTAAGTCAAAAAGTAGAAAGAGAGAATAAAAAAAAGGAGAAGAAGAGAGAGAAAGAAAGCGACATGTTACCCCTTCCCCCAATAAAAACTTGACATATTGCCTTTTCTCTTCATTCTCCAATAATATGTTGACATTTGTCAAATAAGAAACGTTCTTCAGTCTTTTAATTAAGAGACGTTTCTTCCCTTTTGACATTATCTAGATTTTTTTAAAAGAAAAATGCCTAAGATACTCTCTTAAAGATTCCATTGAACATGCTCTTAAGTGTTGATTGTTTCAACCTCTATCACCCGTGATTGGTAGTGGTAAGTAGCGTTTTATAACAATCATAGAAATTGCTCACTGCGTATCGTTTTGTACGCTGAAATCTAAAAGCTAATTCCCGTAAGCGTTTGCAGTTTCAGACGATAGCGGGTAGGTAAAAAAAATTAATGCTAGAAAAAAAGAAAAAAAAATATTATGTTAAAAAATATTATGAAACTCTAATCATACCGTATTGTCTCCTGTATAT